CCAAGATAACCATACTAACTAACAGTGAAAGTTTGTTTCGTCTTTGGTACAAAAGTTTCTGTCAGCTTGTCATCTGGAATTGGTTCCAACAAACCTTTTCGAAAAGAATGTTTACAGCTCTGACAATGTTGCACTTGGCCTTTTCCGAACAATGGGTTTGTAAGACTTTCGTTCAACATGAAGTGGTTGTGGACAATTACAATCTTCAACCATGGTAAATTGAACTCAACAACATAGTCGTTGTGAAGAACCTTTAGCTGTAAGGTATGTTGACTCGGATATTGACATTTGCCAAACGGTGCAATTTGCCAATTGACCTCTAGAATGTACCTTGTCTTCACACATGACTCAAGATACTTCATCTTCTCATCTGTAACAAGACCAGAGTTCCTGATACATGTAAGAATGCAAGGTTCGTTGACAATTGTTTCAATTGAATTGTAAATTCCATACCTTGTCAAGTCAATGTCAGACTTATTTATGAAGGGGAAGTATCCAGCATGTTGTCTGACTGCTTGAGGGGTTAGGTGGTACCATTCGAACTTGACACTTGCAATTCTTCAATTGCATTCAAAATGTCTGAGTCGGAGTCAACCATTTTGTTCTCTCTTTGTAGTCTTGAAAGCGTCAAGAAGTTTTTGCGGCTGTTTGTTCATTGCCATGTGCATAGTAAATGTGACCATCCCAATCTGTTATGGTCAATCTGAGATTGTGTCCTTTCTTATTTCCGTCTTGAATTGCAGCAAGTACTCCATGAAGCTTCTTCTTTGTCTTTCCTTCGTCAAAGTTTACTGTAAAGGTTCGACCAGATGTAATTTGACTTCTAACTTCACGATACTTTTCATATGCATATCTTGTTCTTTCCATGGGAGCATGTGCGTTTCACCTTTTTCTTTTTTTCTTCTCAAAGGATGCAATTGTTCGTCATGTTTCCAGTAGAATCTGGCAAAGCCGTCGTGTCTTCAACTTGAGGTTCACTAACATCGAAAGGCATGTTCATAAGACGTTCTTCTTCTAACCTCTCTAGTCTGTTTGGATAATTTGCACGTGCTGTTTCCAAATCCATTTCGTAGCGAAGACCAGACAATTTGTCATAGACTTTTATGGGTCTTCCCTTCCTATATTTAAACTTCTTCGAAACTCTCCAACCATATCTTTGTAACTCTGCTTTATTCTAGAAGACTTTCTATCCATTCTATATGGGGGCATTTTTTATAAAATAAAAAAATATTTTTTTTCTTTACTTTACATAACCACCTGCTGCCATAAGTCTTTGACGCCAACCCATACCAGCTAATGAAGGTTGACTTGGTTTAGTTTCCAAACTAAACTTTGGTTTTGGTTTATCTTCAGTTTTTGGTTTTTCTTCTTCTATCGGTTTTTCGTCACTTTTCGGTTCCTCTGACTTTACTTCACTTGCAGAACAGTTGTGTCGTCAACATCTTCATAAATATCATATGCCATTTGTTTTTGTTTTCCTTTCAACTTTTTGTGTTTGTTGTAAAGTTTAGAATATTTCGACTCTAAGTCAATGAGATGTTCTATAATGAAACTGTTGTCAGTGAAGTAAACTTTTCCATCTGTTGTCTCGAAAGCTCCTTCAGACTTCAATATTTTATTTGTGAGAGTCTGTTTCTTTTTTGAGATACTAGCCGTTCCATTTTTATGAAAAGTGACTTTATAGTTAGGGTTTTATTTCCAGACCTGGCACTTTCTATTATTGAATTTTTCTCTTCATCTGTAAGTTTTTGACAGGTTTTGACAATGGTTCTCGAACTTTTTGTTTGTGGTGTCAAATCTACCGTTTCAACTTCTTCGGTCATTTCATCTCAGTAAAAAATTTTAGTTTGGTTTGTTTTCAACTGGTTGTTTAGGTTTTTTAAGTCGGTCTAAAACTTCCTGAGGTATAGGAAGAACTTTACAAACACGTGGTGTAACTGCTGGAAGCCGACAAATCCATCTTGAACTTATTTTCTCAATGCTGTATTGTTCATTTTTCATCAGTAAAAAACTTTACATTCCCCACGTTTGAGGCGGTTGAGGTTGGTTATTGTTTACCCACTGTTGTGCATGGTTATATCCTCTGTTAAAGAATCTTTCACCTTGGTCCATATAGTGTCCTGCTTGGTTATAGTAGTCATTTGCTTTGTTATAATAGTTTCCTGCTTGTCTTCCTACATTGTCCATCCATCCTTGAACTTTTCCTCTTGTTTCAGGATTTGGAATAAGATTTGTTGCATCTCGTGCTACATCCCAACCTTTCTGTACAGTTTGTATAATAGGTTGTGCTTTCTCTTTAAGTATACCTAATGTACTCAAAATCTTCCTTCCAACCCCAAATACATCTGGCTATTGTTCCCACTGCGGGCAAAAATCTGGATGCAACTCCTGCTAATGCGCCAAATAAACCCATTTCTTATAGGGTAAAAAATGACGAATCCAAACAAGGACCCCTATGTTTCTAAAGCGACAAAGAAAGCACTCATGATAAAAATCTTTAGTTCAACACCAAATGCTTGGTTTATGGATATCTTGGAAAACATTCCGAGAGTTAGAACAGATGGACCACCATACTGGCTAATATTTGTTGGTCAAAACACAAGATACTGTGAAGCCATACCATTATGGTCCAAAAATATTTTAGATGTGAAAACTGCTTTGACAATATTCGTTGACAAATACCATCCAACAAAACTGACATCTGACTGTGAAAGTTCTTTCAAATCAGATGATATTAAAAACTATCTGCGTTCAAAAAATGTAAACCAATATTTCATTGTCGACCAAAACCATTCTGTCTTGGTGTCATTGACGGATGTATAAAAATGTTAAGACTTAAACCAACCACAAGGTGGTGAAGCAAATGAAATGTCATATGACGACAAGTATAGACACTTCTCCATGGCAAAGATGAGACAAGTTTTAAATATTTACAATAACCGTAAACAAAAGGTTTGGGAAACCACTCCCCCGAAGAAATGAAAAACAACCTGACTTAGAGAAAGACTATATATTTAATAATTTAGTCAAAAGAGACAAACAAGAAAGAATGCCGGGCTTCAAACTTCAGAAAGGTAACAAAGTAAAAATAGAAATACCTAAACGCGACCCATATGAAAATACTATTGACTATGACAACAATGGGAACTCGACAGGTACTCACATTCGTGTTCGTAAGAATAGAAGAAAGTATACAAGAGAATATTATGAAGTTTTAGGCAAACATGGCAAAATGTACACACTGCAAGCAGAAGATAAAACTACTATTGCCAGACCTCGTTTCAAACTTGTCAAAGTTCAAGGTGGTATACTTTCAAAGACAGTTCCTAACAAATATAAGACAACTCCTGACGAATATGCTAAAGAAGTTGAAAATGACGACTAAGCAATTCTATACCATGCGTAAACTGTCATGTAAGGTGGCATGTATTCTTTACTTTGTCCCGTTGTTTGTGTATATCCTGAAACGTGATGTGTATGGTTTCCTCCTCCCTCAGTGTTACTCCAGTAACAATTTATAGCAAACTTAACGTTGTCTTTAACATCATATCCTTTACCTTTTGTCATTGCTGACCAATCCCAATATCTATGCTTATGCCAACCTGCTTGAGATGTACTTAAATCTATGTAGTGACTGTGTGCAGGTAAATTTTCACCTGAAATCGTTTTACTTCCACCTGTTTCCTTTGAAGAGTTTGCACAATACAAAAACCTGTCGACTATTTGAGTCCAAGTTCCAAAACCCAGAACTGTTTCTGGTCTGGTAGAGTTCATTGACGTATAAATAGAGCCTATAGGATATAATGTTTGAAGCATTTCTGTCTTTAATGTTTGAAGCTCTGTTTTGTCTGCTTTCTTATCTAACATTGCGGGTAGTTCATGTGCTTCAAAGTTTCTGGCATGACTTTCAATGTTCCTGCAACTGTTATCTAAACTGTTTAGTGTATCTTTTACGCTTGTACTTGGATTCTCTAAAGGTGCACTTGAACCAAGGTCAAAGTTCAGTATTATGTCGTCTGCTCTAACAGTAGTGAAGGATTTATGTGTATGGTTCTTGTCAGCCTTTTTATCTAACTCATCGTTAACATAAGTTTTATCTGCTTTAAGGTCTAAACATCCTGAAACCCATCCTGTATCAGCTTTAGTTTTTAAAATCTTCGATGTCCATTCATGATACCATTCAGCCCTTTCTTTAATTTCATTATCTTTTTTATCCACATATTCCTTATCTGCTTTCTTCTCTAACTTACTAGCCACATATTCCTTATCCGCTTTCTTTTCAAGGCTAACGTTTAAGTTTGTAATATCAGATATAGAATGTGTATGAGTCTTTTTAGAATATTCGTTTTCAGCTCTTGTCACTTCACTTGACATTTTATTGTCAACATATGTTTTGTCTGCTAGTTCAGGATGAGTATGTTCTTTTGTTGCATAAGCATTGTTAGCTCTTTCTTCTTCTTTTGCTATTGCATCGTCTACATATTCTTTGTCAGCTTTGTTGTCAACATCTGCTTTCAAAAGAAGTTCATTTATAGGTTTCTCGTTTAAAGTTCCTTTTGTTGGATTTATACAGACAGTATGGTTCTTATTGTCTTGAAACAGAAACTCATCTGTCATTGGGTTTAATGTCAGTTTTAAGTTTCCTTCTTTCAATGACTCAGATATCTTAGAATAGTTTGAAAAGTTTGTTGTGTTCTTATTTAGAGCTTGCATAATGAGTTGTCGGTTGTGTTGTATTTCTCTTATGGAAGCAATATCTTTCGACATTTTTATTCTAGATAAAATATGCTTCCAATAGAAAAAGAAAATTCAAGAGTTGCTACAACTAAACCATTAGATGAACTTTTTACTAATGTCGGTCAAAAGTTTGACTTAGATACTATAAAGCATGAAGGCTATCGTTTTGACTACCCATTAAGATGGTTAAGAGACCCATCCGTCACAAAAGCTATTGGCTTTCGTAGAATAAAATTTGTGTCTGTAGAAGATAAAAGTTTTCCATTTATTGTAAGGTTTCATATAGATTATATATCTGAAGGGAAACGAAAAATGTGGGAAGAAATTGAGCTAATACAAGTTGACCTTTCATCTTCTCTACAGACTGCGTTAAAAAATATAGAAGATAAAATAAATTCATGTTATGCAAAATATGCTGATGAATATGCAAATACCGAGAGCACACTTTATGTGAGAATTGTATATGACAAACAAAATTCACAAGTGTCATTTCAAATCTACGAAAACAATCCAAATAAAGACGAACAAATATATACAGAATTCACTGCAATGTCATGGTATTATTTGCAAAGAATGTTAAATCAGAAAGTCGAACTTCCTTTAGCAAATATTTACAGTCGATATGCAAGAGATGAACCATATTTATTTAAAGATGTTTTCGACCAAGATGCTGTGATAGTTCATGCTTCATTTTCTGGCGCCCAAAACTCTTTCTTATGCTTGGCAAATGACTTTTACGAAAAACCTACAAAGTTATACGAACCACCAAGTGGAAGTATTTCAGACTTTCAAGTATGGTTTCCTACAGATGGAAGAAAAAGAATAATTCCATTATACCATGCGTTTTACTTAGAACTTAGTTTCATATACAACTACTATCGAACGATAAAAATATAACTTTTTAATATACCGGTTGTGGTGTTGGATTTGGTTGCCAACTAGAATGTGGTGCAGGTTCAGGCTGTTGTATAACAGGAGCTTGTTCTTCTGGTTCAGGGTCTTTAGGTATAATACCAACAAACTGACCTACTCTTTTACCAATATTTTTGACTCCGTTCCAAATTCCTTTTCCTACGGTTTTGACGCCATTCCATATACCTCTTCCAACTCTTCTGAAGAAGTTTCCAATACTACTGAAGAAATCCATTTACTACGTGTAAAAATCTAATGTCCGCCTAGTCTTTTGCGTTTCCTGTTGAGTTCCATAGCATTCTTTAACTGGAGCTCATACATTCTGTTTCTCCTCTGGTAGAAAACATATTCTGGGTCAACTCCTGTGTTCGCGTCATCTGCATAAAGTTGTTTATATCCCACTTCAGGGTTTGTATAAAACTCTTTCCATCTCATATTTGCATACCATGGTGGCAAACCTAACGCAGCGTCATTTGACATGGCAGTTTGCATTTGTACATCTGTTGGCACTTGACCATAGTTTGCCATTGCAGTTTGTATTCTAACTTCATTTGGAATATTCTCTGGGTTTGGTTGTCCAGGTTGCTGTGCATTCGCTAAGTTCTGTGCGTCCATTTAATATTAGATAAAAATATCTCTTACGAGTACATATACTGAACATTTGCAGGCATTGGTTCATCTTCATATTCTCTGTACTTTTCTGCCACGTCAAATAAATAAATGACACAATGGAAAAAACCTAAAACTAACAATCCGATTTCAAACCACATTTACTTACTAATAAAATTTCTTTATTGTGACACTTTCTCCAGTTTATAGGACCTCTCTCATATTCTATCTTGTCATATATAAACTCATAGTCATGTATGTCCTCTAACCATCTCATAACGGTTTCCAAACCACTTTTATCGGATGTAAAGTAAAAGCATGGATGGTTATGTATATGAACGTCTAAAGTTTCTAAAGAGTCTCTCAAAGTCCAGTCTACTTGGTATTGAAAATCCCATGTGTTATAGAACGGCGGGTCCACTATAAAGAAAACATTTTCCTTGTCTTTATATTTTTCATACAACTCTGTCCAATGACATCTCACAAACTCTATACCCTCAATATATTTTTCTATGTCCTCTTTGAAAACATTTGTATAGTTAAGATATAAAACTTTTGACATAAGTGTTTCAATGTCATGAACTCTTATAGCACCACTATATAATAGTCTAGCAGATATACTATTCCAGTCTATATATTCTGCTTTTTTCAAAACCTCTCTCACAATATTTTTCTTATCTAATGGTATACGTTCCATCTTACCTATAGGTATCTTTTCTTTTAACTCTTTCAATATATTGTTTGTGTCTGGAATATGTTTGAGACGGTCCATATAGTTGTCGAAGTCATTGCATATAATCTTTGAGTCTGGGAATATTGTATGACATAAATGGGATATATAGAAACTTCCACCGAACAAATCTACAAATGTTAGACCATTCGGTAGTTTCTTAAGTTCTCTCAATATAATATCTTTACATCTACTCTTATTTCCAAAGAACGGTAACGGTGGTTTTGTAAAATTCATTTATATATAATAATAAAAATGTTTTTACCCGAAAAGTGACAGAAAAGTGACAAAGCATGAAAACATATATAATTTGTGAAAAGCGACACAAAAGTGATATATTAAAAAGTGACACCATTAATATGATGTAAATAACAACGGTTTTGGTTTTGTCACCGGCTGGTCGGCTGGGGTTCGGTCCTCCTCTTGGGTCTTGGGCAAAATTTCTTAGGGCTAGAAGGGGCGCAGCCCCTGGAAGCCCTCCGAATATAAACTTCATTTATACTAAACATCTTCAGGGCTAGAAGGGGCGCAGCCCCTGGAAGCCCCTCATACCTGACCTTATATAATAGTGAAATAGAACAAGAAATAATTATTGATGATTAAATTGTAGACGAGGATAAAAGTTTAGATAAATTAATAAAATTAGTGTGGAATCAGACAAATTTCGGGTTGTTTGGGAAGGAATTGTTGGCTATGATGTACTGATTCATGATCAGTACATCATAGCCAACAATTCCTTATACAAAGTTCAAAAACTTGGGTGCAATCAGTTCTGATTGCACCCAAGTTTTTGAACTTTCTCGAGGGAATGAAAGGGTAAGAGGTATACATTATGAATATATACCTCTTACCCTTCCATTCCCTCTCTGACAGCGGGAAACTTTGTCTGAATGTTAAACTATTCAGACAAAGTTTCCCGCTGTTTGGGAAGGAATTGTTGGCTATGATGTACTGATTCATGATCAGTACATCATAGCCAACAATTCCTTATACAAAGTTCAAAAACTTGGGTGCAATCAGTTCTGATTGCACCCAAGTTTTTGAACTTTCTCGAGGGAATGAAAGGGTAAGAGGTATACATTATGAATATATACCTCTTACCCTTCCATTCCCTCTCTGACAGCGGGAAACTTTGTCTGAATGTTAAACTATTCAGACAAAGTTTCCCGCTGTTTGCGAAGGAATTGTTGGCTATGATGTACTGATTCATGATCAGTACATCATAGCCAACAATTCCTTATACAAAGTTCAAAAACTTGGGTGCAATCAGTTCTGATTGCACCCAAGTTTTTGAACTTTCTCGAGGGAATGAAAGGGTAAGAGGTATACATTATGAATATATACCTCTTACCCTTCCATTCCCTCTCTGACAGCGGGAAACTTTGTCTGAATGTTAAACTATTCAGACAAAGTTTCCCGCTGTTTGCGAAGGAATTGTTGGCTATGATGTACTGATTCATGATCAGTACATCATAGCCAACAATTCCTTATACAAAGTTCAAAAACTTGGGTGCAATCAGAACTGATTGCACCCAAGTTTTTGAACTTTCCATTAACAATTGTTCAATCACATTTATACAACCCAAATCTATACCAATCATACTCTTATTCATACATCATATTTTAAAAACTTTTTTGCAATATGATGTTATTGCAACAAATTTTTTTCTTTTCTACTTCCAATTAGCACCTTAAAAACATTAGACACAATCACTGGCTCATATGCTCCTATTCTGAATCTAACACTATGCAAATTTATACAATTTCTCCACAAATCTTACATTCATTTTAATTTCAACGACCATTATTACCACAAAGAATCTTACCTTCCCCTACAAAATCTAACTATCTATCAATTTAAAAAATGTTACAAAATATTAAATGAATTTTTTTTCTATACGTAATTTAAAGTTCTTAAACTCTCAGCATCAGAATATCCTTACATAGCTTAGCTATATATCGTATTACTTTATGAATAAAAAAATTATTTAAATTATAATAAAATGTTTATTCGTATTTTTACTTTATTTTTAGTTACGAGGCTGTATTTCGAACTCAGGATTTGGGTTTAAGTCCTTTGTCCATTTAGGACCCTGGTCCCAAATTGATTTTGGAGTAGGTTTTCCACCGAAAAGATCTTTAAGAGCTGTATGAACCCATACTGTGTTGTATTCTTTATTGCGTGAGGTAAAAATTCTCTTATTTCGATAAAATCTGGGCGAGCCGAAAAGATTGTTTGCCAAAAACGTTCTATTTTACCATTTAACTGTGGTGTGTAAGGTTCTGTCCGATGGTGTTGAATGCCATTTACTTGAAGAACGTTTTTGAAGTCCTTTCCTGTAAATTCGCATCCATTATCTGTCAAAAGTTCGTATGGAATAATTTT